AGGCAGAAGGATCAGGCAAGTGCAAGCAGAGCTGGTTGGGATACCTGTGGGATGCACCAGTGCTTTCTCTCTCCCTGAATCGCGGTAGGAGCAATCCACCAATGCACACCGGTGAATCAACCTCCCTGCCAAGCAGACCGGTTGGACCCCTTCCCCAGGACAAGAGGGTTCAAACAGGTCTTTCCCAGCAGCAGGTAGAGCAGCTGTAATTCCAGTTCCAGTTTCCAACAAGTTGCTTGGTAGCAAGAGCATCCAAGAAGACCAAGACGAAAATGGACTGGGTTTGATTCCCCAGCCCTGGGTAGTTCCTCGCAATATATTTGTACAGCGCTTTTGTTCTGCCTGGCTTTAAATGTCCCGAGAAATGGGAGATGTACCACTTGCTTCCCTTGAGATTCATGCCACTCTGCTCTCAGGGAGGGAGGAGACGCTAACGTTTTTGCCAGTTTCTCTAAACCTCGAAAGGTTCAGCTTCAGTGCTTTAGGTTAAATATATTTGTACACGCTCCAGAGCTTAGCTCTAGTGGCCTCTCTCATTTTATAGTGTAGCCAAGCAGATATTTAGGTTCCCCTCGACTGGTTAGAAGATGCAAGCAGCCTGGAGGCGGTGTACAGGTAGATAGGTGTTGTGTAGGGTGGCCAGGATTTCAGAATTGCATGTGTGACCACACACGCCAAAATTGCTTGTGCAAATAGCATGGTTGGAAGTGCAGTTTTAGGTAGAGGACATCAGTTAGATGGTGGATATGCACATGCACAGCCCTGAAAACATAGCCTTAACTTGTGTTGGTGTGGGAGCTTTGTATTCTTCACTATAATATTGGCAAGCTGTAAAGGTAACCGGCAATTGGGCTCGGTAAGATGCTGCTAGAAGACCCTCCCGATTATCTTTAGAGAAGGAAAAATCCCAATTGTCTTGCATTGCACGAGCAATGCTTGTGGTACTGTGGGCCCATGAATAAGGACCTCTAGTCTTTCCAGGCAGCTGTTGTGCCCTGAACAAGTCTCTAAACTCCTCTGTTCCCTAAATGCACACTGGTCCCTTCTGGGATGTCCATCTCCCACCCCTGGTCCACAATAGCATGCCTCAAAGATGGCTTTGCTGGTATTGCAAAATGAGCGTATGTGACTTCTTCTGTTTGAACACACAATCGCTTCCTCAGGGTAAAGACTAGAAAGCGAACACATGGCTTAGCTGGGCGATTAAACCGGAGAATGCAAACTGCCCTGCTTCACATTATTTAACGGCGTTGCAGGCAGCATGCTGTGAAATCTTTAAAGCCGCCCAAATGGGTCAGTGGGAAACCTACCCCCTTCGTGAGCTGACGTGCTTGTGTGCTTTCTCTTTATCCTCTCCTAGACAAGTGGGTTTGGAATCGACTTAACCCTTCCGGAGTGAAACCCACGCCCAGGTCGGGCTTCTCGGCGGCGGTCGGCCCCAATAACCGGTCCCTCCTGTTCGGAGGTGTCCACGATGAGGAAGAGGAGGAGAGCATCGAAGGAGACTTCTTCAACGATGTTTATTTCTACGATATGGGGAAGAATCGCTGGTTTCCTGGACAGTTAAAGGTCTTGAAAAAAATATGTATTGTCAACCCTCCCCTTCCCCATTTCTCTGAGCCCACCGAATCATAGGAAAGTAGAGCTGGAAGGGTCATCTAGCCCAGCCCCCTGCTCAAGGCACGGTTGTCCCTGACTCAACCGTCCCAGCCAAGTGTCTCTTTAACTTGCTTTTGAAAGTTTCCAAGCACAAAGATTTCACAACTTCTCTGGACGGCCTGTCCCAATGCTCGACCATCCTCCTCTTCAGAAAGTCCCTCCTCATCTCCAACCTAAATTTCCCCTGCTGCAGCTTGAGGCGATTGCTGCTAGTCCTGTCCCCTACAGCCACAGAGAAAAGCCCATCTCCATCCTTTCTATAACTGCCCTTCAGGTATTTGAAGACTGTTAGCAAATCTCCCTTCAGTCTTCTCGTCCTCTTCTCTGATTGATTTAGATTTGAAAGCTAGCTGGGTGTGGTACACATCGAGCTACATCACTGTGCAAAATCCTGGGGGAGACGAGGCATTGATGGTTTTACCTGGGTGTAACTAGGCCAAGTCAGCCTTATGCACCTGTCCTGGGGTTGACTCAAGGTCAGAGCTGCTCCTGAGCTTTCAAATGAACCCTTAGGGCTGGTGTGGTTAGGGCAGGCCAGTCTCTGTAGCTAATAGCATGTATGGGAGTAGTGAAAATCTAGTCATATTTGATTCCGCAGCCCGAATGACCAAGTACCCCACTTAGAGCTGAGGGTAGTGCTTGGAGAAGGGCTTGAACTCGTGCCTTTGGATCCGTAGTGAGTGAGACTCCACTGTTCTGCCACTGGACCTCGCTAACTTGGTCTAGCTACACTGAAATAAAAAGGACAGTGTCTTGTCTCCATCAGGATCTGACATAGCAATAGCTGGCTGGCTGGGAAAACACCCCTTTTATCCCAGGGAGATGAAGCTTGCAGCTGCCAGATGGAGGAGACGAGATGTTAACCCTTCAGAAATGCAGCATGACTTGAGCTCTTCATCAGGTGCAAGTGGTGCAGGTTGGCCCAAACTGACCTCCCTCTCCTCCACCCCTGGGCCTCCTCTCTCTGTTTTCCAAGAGGAAAAGTCAGTCACATAACGACGGGCAAAGCTGCACTGTCAGGTCTGCTTCTGAGTTCCTGGCAAGTGATTTCCCAGCCCTTTGGTACAGCGCTCTGAGGACCTGGAGTGCTTCCCGCTAATGCATTGTAATTTAGCACCCAGTAATTGTGTTTTGATTTCACAAAATGGTGGGCTATTTTCTCTTGCGCCAGCCACAAACTACCGAGTGTGTGTATGTGTGTGCGAGGGAACTGCTTCTCTTCTCCCCCCACACACACCTACCACCACCAGTTGACATAGTAATAGAGCCAACAATAGTACGCCACAAATTTCCTTTCCGTTTCCTTGTCATTCATTTTATAGCTAGCGGAGCGGCCTGTGCTGTGCTGTGCCGGAGCATGTGCGTATCTTTCGAGATTTACAGTGCCTGCAAACTCGAATTGAATCCCCAAATTGCATTTAGGTGTATTGTTTTCCATGCTACGTGCTGCGTTAGCCGAGCTGCATGTTGATGCTGCACGGATTCACGTTGCAGCGTAGCCTCCTCCAGCTGCTTTCCTAATGCACTTATCGTCAACAGGGACCAAAATCTGAGAGGAAGAAACGCAGGCGCGGGAGGAAGGCAGAGGCAGCGGAGGCGGCTGGAGGAGGAGAGTCTGAGGGCCAGCCCCCTCCGGCGCCCGTGGAGATAGTCAAAGAGGTGGTTGCAGAGGATGGGACTGTGATGACAATCAAGCAGATGATCCCTGCCGCCGGAGCAGAGCTGGAGAGGTCCGAGTCGGAAGAGGAGGAGGAGGAAGAAGAGGAAGAGGAGGGTGCCGGTGATGAAGCCTCCGGCCAGCAAGTGGAGCCATGCCCCCGGTCCAATGCCATGCTGGCGGTGAAGCATGGCGTTCTCTATGTGTATGGGGGGATGTTTGAGGTGGGAGACCGCCAGTTCACCCTCAGTGACCTCTACAGCATCGACCTCCACAAGATGGACGAGTGGAAGGTGCTGGTGGAGATGGATCCAAGTAAGCGATGGCATGGGGCTAGCGCTCTCCTGTGCTTTCAAGCAACTTCGTCTACCCCAGATGCCCGTGTCAGCCTGCAGATGCCTGCTCCAGACGGGGTCCCAGCAAGCCTTGCATGGAGGTGGCATTTACAAGTCATAAATCTGTGGGCACCCTGATTTGGTGTTAAAAGCCAACGTGCCTTTTCCAGTGTAGCCAGAACCTGGGTTGTCCACGGGCCCCTTTCTGCTGTTCCCCTAAAAACACCCCTGGACACCCGTGTGATCCTTGCAGAATGGAGGCAGGTTATCTGCCCGATGCTGCCACTTTCTCCTGGCAGTTTGGGGGTGACTGGATGCATTTCTTCTCTCTCTCTCTCTCTCTTTTTCCTATTAAAGAAACTCAGGAGTGGCTGGAAGAATCTGAGTCGGATGAAGAAGGGGGCGACGTGGAAGGGGCCGAGGGAGGAGATGAGGAGGAGGAGGGCTCTGATGAAGAGAGTGAAGATGATGAAGGTAACAGTGACCTGGAGAGGAGCGAGGGGGATGTATGGGCCAGTGGTGGCTTGAGGCAGCCCAAAGTAGGGGAGCGGGCCAAGCTTTCCACCAGCTCTTTCCAACTTGGGCCATGTCCTCGGGGAGAAACTGGTTCCCCATCATGCAACAAGCTGTTAGCAGCAGCCTGCTCTCGACCTTCCCAACACCCGGGGGAGCGTCTTGTTTTAGCCTTGACCCCTCTCTCCCATTGTGTCTCCCTCCTGTCCCATGACAGAAGAGGAGCAGCACCCACCTGCCCATCCAGATGAGAAGTACACGGACTATTTGCCCAGGACAGAACAGTACTGGATTAAACTCGCCCGCAGGAACATGGGCCCTGAGGCGAAGGAGAAGAAAGTATTGAAGGTGGCACATGCGATGGCCAAGGCTTTCTATGAGGGCTTGGTCTAGACGCACTCACTCCGGCAAATGGGCAACGTGAGTGCGGAGGCGCCCCGGGGACAGCGGTGAGGCCAGCTCAACTTAGTCCGGTGTCCTTCACCAGTAAACCCGGCCAGATCCAGGAGCACTCTTGTTCCTGCTGCTCCAGGCGAATGCCCCTGTGCTCGTCTCATTGCTAATGGTGTATTTCTGCTGTTATTTCTGGGCATCGTGGCCAGTGTGTTCAGGACCTCATGCTACCGAGGCTTGAAGACACAACGTGGGAATTTTTGTTGGAGCCGAGGTTAGCAGAGACAAGCTATCCATGAGAATTTCCTAGACCCAAACCCTCCTCTCCGGTCCGAGGGCTAGGTTTGGTTTCTCTGAGTGCTTTTATAATAAAGTTCTTCAGTTAAGTCACGGTGGGTTTCTGTCCCTTGGGGAACGCTCCCCGCTTGGTTTTCTTCCTCCTTTGCTTTTGTTTTTCGAAGGAAATTCTGGCGCTCCCTTCGAACCCACCCGAACATCCCTGCTCGTCTCATGCGTGTGAAGCCATTGAAGGCTGAGGTACAAGCAGTTCACTGTGAGACCCCGCAATGTTCACTCCTCTCTAGTTCTGACTCTTCCTGTGCTTCCTGTGCATGGATATGGGCCTGGGTGCTCCTAACTTGGGGAAACTTTTGGATGCTTAAGTCTAAGAATGGGGACTGTGACCTTTTATGTCCCTACGTGGTTGTGTTCCAGTATTTTGGCACTGACACGTGGCTTGCAATCGCGGCCCCCCTGCCCTGTGGATGCATAAGCGTGCCTGTGCATACTCAGGGTGTTGTGGGCTGCATGCTCATAAGTCCCAGAAAAAGCAAGGCCGAGCCCATGTCCTTGTGTGGTTAGGACACTCACCTTGGGGTCTAGGCCTGCTTTGCTCAGGAGAGCTTTGACACTTCCCAGCATAGCACACGAACCCCAGCGCTGCGTCCTCCTGCTCCTTCTGTGCTCCATTTGAAGCCGAGCCACTGCCCTTCTGTTTAAGTCGCTGGGGAAAAGGGGTAGTGTGGATGGGGGGATTTTTTTTTGTTGCTTGAGGAAGGGAGGAAGCTAGAAACCAAGGCCTGCCCTTTCCCAAGCAGCACCCAGCTCCCTGAGCCGTGCAACCCTCCAGCTTATGTTCATCCTGGCCTTGCCTCCTCCCTTCTCTCGAGCCCTGCAAGGCTTGCTTCGCAGGAACAGGGGAGGGGGCAGCCTAGCACCGAACCTGTGCTACATTGGTTAAAGCATGGGGCTGGGGTTAAAGCACAGGGTCAAACCTCTTCTTGGCAAGGGGGGGCTTTTGCTTCCCCTCAGCCAGCCGCTGGAGCTAAAACAGGGAACTGCCCTGTCCGTTTGACTTCTGCATCCATCATAACCACAGGCATGTAGCTGTGCGTCTGCCCGGCCCAGGTGCAGCCGATCAAGCATGTTCTGTGCTTACACCTTCACAACCTGTGCATCAGCCAAACCAGCTGGAAACTGCTGTTTCGGTGCAAAGATCGAGATGGGATCTGCCCTGGGAGCTCAGGTCTTGCACTGGGATTGAGGATAGCGAAGGCTAATGTTACACAGCCCTGCGGTGGCACGGTTGAAGGCTGCTCAGGAAGCACGTGCACCCCTCTCTCTTCCTGAGATCTGTTCCTCCTCTGTCTCCTGTCCTGCCTCCTGCATTTCTTGCTGGGAGAGGCTTAGGTTCGGAGTTGTACAAGCAGCAGGACACAGGTGGGCCTCATTAGCGCTCCTGCCAGAGGGGAAGCTGAGGGCATGGCTAGGTCAGGTGCAAACAAGGGTGGCAATCAGGCTGACCTGCTTGGGAGGATGGTGAACTACTGCAAGGAGAGCGGTGAGCTGCTCCCTGGGGAGTAGATGCAAAGCCCAGGAGGGGCAGCTGTGGGCAGGGAGGCACTAGGACAAGCCAGCGTCCGAGGCTGGGGACAGACTGCAACCGAGGACCTTGAGCCAAAAATGAGATGTTTGCTAGTGGCTGCCATCCAGGGCTGGATTCGAGCCTGGCCCCACAGGCCAAGCCAAACGGGTGCACCAGGAGCTCCAGAAGACCCCCTGTCTGGCTTGTGGGGGAGAGAGGGGAGGTCACTATAGGTGAAAGGGTGCTGGACATGCCAGGGGCTGCCATGCAGGATTGCTTCGTGTTGCTACTGCAATAAATGCTGGGGCTTTTGGGAGGGGACCTCATGGGCTGGGCTATCATCATCTTAACCATTTGCTGCTCACCCACATGCACTCAGCTGTCTCTTGTTAAACATGGGAGGAAAGCGACTCCCTCTCTTACGGGGGTGGGGGTCAGAATCTGAGCCCCGTGGTTTGTGCAGTGTCCAGCTGCAGCCAATGCTCTGGGAACCTGGCTGCTTCTTGTGCACGTAACGCGTATAGGTACATACATGCCAACAAAAAGCAACTGCAAGCCAGTGCTCCTGCATGCCCCAGGACCCTGCCGTACCAGTGCTCGGGCTGCAGTAGCTTGTGCATTTGGTTCTGGAGGGCCCGAGTCCAATTCCCATTGTGCCGGCCCGTGTGCGGGGAGATGTGCAAAGCTCAGCGGGAACCGAGTGCAGTCGGTTGTCTGCCTCTGCTCCAACAGGCTCCCGGCTCAGGGTGCCGCCTGCCTCCTGTCGCAGCCCTGCCGTAGCCCCGGGGGACGGCAGATGGAGCGTGCCTGTCTGCGGCAGCCAACGCCGGCGACGCTTTGACACCCAGAGGGGCCAGCTCGCCCCTTGCTGCGGCAGCATCCTGGGGTGCTGGGGTGTCCTCAGGACATCTGCTCTCTCTTGAGCAGTGCCGGGCCCCGGGAAGCTAATGCCGGTTAAATAACCAAGGTTGCACAGAGCAGGCTGCCTGCGCTATTGAGCTGTCGAGAGCACGGTGTGTCTGACGAGGAAGCGCCTTGCATGCAAAGCAGTAGAGGAGCGGGGGAAGTACAGGGGATTTATGGCTAGCTGGGGAAGCAACCTGCAGCTCACGCTTGGTTAACAGCAGCAGGCACCGGCGTGCTGGTTGGGCTCCCAGCACCTGGGCTCACTGATGTGCAGTCCGGCCCCGCGGCTAGGCCGGGAGACATTGCACTTTCACCCTGTCGCTGATCTTATAGCCAAAAAGGAGCAACTAAAAATGCTGTCTTTGGCTGGGTCTCCCCCGCACCCGCAGCCTTCTCAGCACGGGGACTGCTGTTTTGGCCCAGTTCCATGCATCTCCTTTTTTTCCCAGTTTCATGCATCTCCTTTTTTTCCCCAGAGACTTTGATTTCTTCTTTGATTGGAAGGGGAGGAAACGAAGGAGAAAGCCCCTTAGCCGCACTTCAGCGAAGAGGGAGCATCCCCCGGAGCGCTGCAGCGAGGGGAGGAGGTTCCAGCGTGCCCCCGATAAGACAGCGGGCTTGAGGCAGCTTAGACGATGGATAAGCCAGAGCATGCAACAGTGGGTTGTGTTTTCCTCTTAAAGGCTGGATCCAAATTGCAGCTTTTGTGCATCCGGGCTGAGCTAAGCAATCATCGGATGGGTGGGGGAGAGGAAGTGGAACGGATCGGCCTTCAGGCTTATGTGTTTGTTGGCTGAGAATTTAAGTAGCTCGGTCCCAGGTGGATATAACCGATCTGGAAAAGGAGGGCTTGCTGGGACTCGCTGAACAAGCACCAGAGTCCTGGAGAGCTGAGCCTGTGCTGGCCCGTTTTATTTGAAAGGCTCATGGGGAAGCCTGTGAAGTTATCTTGCTGCTTGTGTGCTAGCTCATACGCCGAAGTCTTGCCACTGGAAGCACAGCCAGACTCCCCCATAGTTGCCTTTGAGATGCTCAAGTTTAGGCCAGTTAGGCAGAGAGACAAACCAGAGACTTGCGCTGGGACCTGCTAGCCTTAAAAGAGCCGCAGGAGTCGGTGCTTGCGCACACGAGCCCAAGCCTGTCACCCCTGGGCTGGGCTGAACGGAGGGACCGGTCCCTAAAAAAGACGAAGCAGCCCCAAGTATTACTTAAATGAAACTCCTGCTGCGTGGGAAGTGGCTTCAGGAATGCGAAAAGCCTGGTTCTCCTCGGGCATCACCTGTCCACGAGACCAGAAAGCCAGGCCCGTAGGTGAGGCTTCAGCATGGGGGCTGGGGGAAATGCACCGAGGAACAAACAGCACGCCCTATTCCCGATGCAGCTAAGCGAGTGGAGGAGAGGTTCACACATCTGGAGTGGGGCTCAGCGTCCTGGAGCCGGCTCCTGACCCAGGGGGGAGAGCCCCTGGGCAGAGACGCATCATTTAGACATCCAGAGCGTGCATCTAAGCAGAGCGTGTCTAACACTTGGCTACGCAATGCAGGCGTGAGGTATATGTAGGTGAAGCGAGGTGCGTAGCTTCCCTCACCACCTCCAGCTGGGGTGTGGGTGTGATACACAAACACTTCCATCCCCTGCAGCTTCAGGTTGTGGCAACACCACATCTGGCTCAGCTGCCCAGCCCCATCGCACCCAGCCAGGTGTGCAATTGTGCCAGGGAGTGACAACCTGCACTTCACTTCCCAAGCGTGACAGTGCTTTCTGGAGCTGTGCCTTTGGTCTCTGGGTCCCTAAAGCATCTAACCTGCTACGTACCACCTGCCTCTTTTCAGCCCCGGTGCTACCCCTCCACCTGCTCCTTGTGTCCTTTCCCACCCAGGGCCTCGCACACGCCGCAGGCATTTTGTTGCTCCTGCTTTTGCAGCCTAGCCGAAGGGTGATGACTCGGTGCCGCCTCGTCCGTGTGCTGCACGAGCAGCACCGGTTGCTATCTCTGCATCCCCGTTCCTAGGAGAAGCAACCTGCTCCTCTTGTTCCGTCTCGGCCATCTCCACGCAGCGTCCCCTCAACGCGGCAAGAAACCAGACCTCGTTGCGAGTCTCTGAGCTGTGCATCCCCTTGCTCCCGCAGCAGCTTGTTGCAGGGCACTACCTGACCACGGGCACATTCAGCGCTGACCCATGCATTACCCTGGGGGAAGTGAGTGCAGGTCTGACTTCAGGGAAGAGGGACCGTCAGATCAGGGGTGTCAGGAAGGGAGCAGGTATCCTCAGGTGCATAGGGCTCCCCTCCTACTGGCCTGCAACTCCACCCCATCGGCTGCTGGGCCAGTACTGTCCCTTGAACAGGACACAAGGACCCTGGCCTGGCATCAAAGCTTTGGCACCTGCTTTTTGCAGTACAGTTGATACCCTGGACCCTGAACACACCCATAGCATTCAGTAGCAGCCTGGTCTGGAGGCATCTTTCTACCACAAGCCACCCATCCCTGTCCCAGCCTCCTCTTCATAGACTGGAGTGACCTTTGAGTGTTAACGGGATACAGGCAGTGCTCTCTCCCAAGGACACCCATGTTCCTATGCATGCTCTGAGCACTTGCACTTTTGACACCACCTGAGAGATCCAGGCAGGCACTGGGGGGGAATAGGGTAATGGTGCAATTAGCCATACTGGGAGCTGGTGTGGGCAATTAGCCATACTCTGCGTGGCAGCATGGCCAACACCTGTGCCACCATTTAGATCAGTCCTGATGAGCCGAGAGCAATAGCAGAAGCCATCAGGTCACCTGCAACAATTTCATAAAGGAGAGGGGGGAGAAGCACTCTCAGGTGCACAACCGTAGCACTTACACACTAGCTTTGCACACTGCAGTGTCCAGCGATGGCTCCCAGCACACTCAGTGCAGAGCCAACAGACTGAACCTTATCCCCATCACTCTTCTAGGGCCTGCATGAGAAGCTGGCTTGGTCCCCAGCTCCAGAAGGGCTCAGCACCACATCCAGAGCCTCTCAACCCCTTCTCCCGGGGAACCAGAGTCATGGGAGTTGGACTAGGTGACCTCCCTTTCAACCCTAATTTTCTATGATTTTCTATGATTCAAACCCATGCTGCCAGGCTGTCAGGCTTGGAGGCACTTCATCCGCATCCTCTGGCCTCCAGGTTTAGCCCTGCACCCCCTCCTCCAGCTCCCCGCACTCTTGTGCCCGGTGATTGCTCCCAGCTCTCTCAGGATACAACTAACCCCTTCACAGTCAGTGCAGGGTTATATCTCCCTATCGCAGCCTGGGCTTCACAGTACCTTGGCAGCGATGAGAACCAGACCAGGCGCCTAATTCCTATGATTGCAGCAGGGGAGTTAGGCACCTGAAAACCTCCAAGACCCAGGCCGAAACTGCGTATTTCTTCCATCCTTTCTGTCCTGCAATCCAGCCTGGGATCTTCCTTTCTCATGCCTGCGTGGAGAGGGAGGCTTCGCAGTGGTCCACCGCTGCAGCCATGGGGTCTGAGGGTCGGTAGCACTTCTGGAGTCCGCTGAGGTTGGGCTGTGTCTCTGCACTGCTCGAGGTGCAACTTTTTTGCTGGGCCCACCTCTGGTGCCACCAGTTCAGGTTGAGATCCTTCCCAAATGGCCTGGCAAGCCTCTTATTTTTAAAGAGCTGGACAGACCATCCTAGGAAACGAGTATGATCCAGTGATTTCAGCAGCTTGCACGCATTTGCTTGCCTATGCATGGACAGACAGATGCGGCACGGCCTGGAGAGAGACTACGCGGATGTGGTGTCCTGCCGCTATGGCGCTGGGTGCATTAGACGGGTGGCCACAAACATGGTACTTCCGAGGTGGAAAGAGGAACATCGACCTGCTTCTCTCTTTAGGCTACACAGCAAGAGTATTTTTGGCTCTGGGCAGATGTGAAAGCACAGAGCTAAGACAAATGGCTCGACTCCCCGTGATTAATCAAGGAATCATTATTTTTCATCCGATTGTTTGGGAACCAATTCATATTAGCCTTCAGATATCTTTCAGACTTAGAAGTGTGGCTTACCTGAACTTTTAGACCGGTAGAAACTAAGGGGAGAAAGAGCTGAAAGGCAAGGCTGAATTTGGGGTTTGTGTCCAAATTCGCTGGGGCCTGCGAGAAAAAGCCGTAATAACTAGTCGGTCACCAGGGTGAAAAGGCTAGTCATGAAACCACTAGTACTTTTATTTGATAATGATATGCATTTTGTGCTGTTTTATACATATCTAAATATTGTATTGTGTTTGCATGTAACTATGTAACCTGCTTCTGTAGGTACCTTTGTGTCATGCACTTACGGGAACGTACAAAAAAAGTTCTCTAGAGTCGTTACAAAGAGTTGCAAACAGAATTACAAAACACATATCGCAGCATGTATGATTTCCTAGGGCTGCCATGACAATATATCATTATTTGGTTCACTTCAGGTCTGCAGCAACCTTTCCATTTGGAAAAAAGAGAGAGAAAGAGATGACTAGGAAACAAAAAAGCCCCAAAAACGGGGTGTACAAAAGTGGAGAGTGGAGAATGAAAACTCCTTGGTGCTCTCCACCCCTCCCACCCCCCTGCCCCTGCACCCCCTCCGACCGAAAAGGAAAAGAAAAACCGCCAGGGGGGAATGAGAGCGACCATGGAAGGAAAAGAACTGAATTTAACTGGCACATGCTCTAATGTTGAGTTTATTTCTGGTTAAAAATATAGCAATCCAGTGCAGTGTAATAAAGAAATCTGCTGAAAAGGTAGCAGAGAGACAGCTAAAACAGAAGCAAAGCAAAGCTGAGTCCACAAGTCAGGGTTGTACCCAACAGCTCTGTGTGTGAAATGCTGAGGAGGATTTCCCACAGATAAAACCTAGAGGACGGACGGTGCCCGGGCCGCGTTCTGCACCCCGTTACCCGCTGCAGCGCGGGATGTGACCAAGGGCAGAACGGGGTCCCGAGGCAGTGTCGGAGACGGGCAGTTGACTATTTTGAGTCGTATCTTGTGGTGGGAGGATCATCGAGCAAAGCTGATATATCGGACAGGGGTGGCCTGCACGGGGTCGTAGTGTCGGGGCGGCGGGGCGGAGGGGAAGAACCGGCACCGCTGGTTTTGAGATGCGACAGGATTTCAGCGATTTCCAAGCAATTGAGCTAAACCACACTCTTATCATTGGGATTAGAACAACTCAGAACAGGGATGCTGCATCTTTAATGAATACGCATATCATCGGGGAAGGGAGGGGGATTAAAAAAAACCAAAAAAAAAGGAAAAAAAAGAAAAGAAGAAGAAATCCAGGCAGGCATATTACAAAGATGTTATAAACAAACGGATCCAGTGACATATAGAAAAGAATACATCCTTAGAGGCTGCCAGTGCCAATGAAGGGTTTCTTTTTTTTCACAGGGACATGTCGGAAGCTGGAATATACATCCTGCATACACAGTGCAAAACGCAACATGCTCAGAGCCCAAGCACGATGTCTGAAATGGTCCACAGCAAGATGTCAGAGGCACGCCCGCCACCCTCCTGGCCTCCCCTGCCCAGACGCCTTCCTCCGGGTCTGACCCGCGGCCCTCACTGCACGGCTTCCTTGCAGTCTCTGGGTGCATGTGTGAGTGGCTGCGGGTCGGGATGGGATGACGGACCGCTCCGTGTGAGTATTGCCACTTCTGACGTGTGCACGTGTGTGTGTTGGGGAGGCATCATAAGCTGCCACGTGATTAACTCGGGGACGGGGGGATTTGTGCCGAGGAAGAGTTGGCTTTGGGCATCGTTGGTCTGGATGGAGGAGGGAGCCGCTGGGAAAAGAGAGCGAGGAAAGGAGGGGGGTGGGTCCATCGGTCATGTCTTGGGTTCCCTCCCCCAACCCCATTGAGCAAACCGGTCATCGCTTCATTACTGGTTTCCAAACTACACCCAACGGGGCTGCTCCTCTGACCCTCTGGAGCTGGGGGGACCCATCCCTCTCCCCCCAAAACCTCCCTTTCTCCTCGTTCCACCATTGTGCTGGTTGGGAAGAGAGGGGAAGAAAGCCGCGAGTGGTTCATCTGTCGTCTGGAGAGGGCCGGGGGCGAGAGGGGATATCTCTTTGTTTTTTCTCTGTCTACTTCATAACCAAAGCTGTTGTGTTTCCCCCAGAAAAAGACTCAGCACGGAGCCCTTCAGGAGCTGCAGTTCGTGCCCCCTGGAAAAAAGTCTGCTCCACCTGCCCGCAATCTCCCCGCTTGGTAATTCGATTATCCCTGTTCTCCTTCTTTTGTTTTCTCAAACACGTGGATTCGGATTTTGCTGGGATCCCTTCTCATCCTTTCTGGTGTCGGGAGGGTCGGAGTTGATCGCATTCGGCCATGCCACACAGCATAGTGTTGTACAAGCAAAGAATTTTGGCTAAAATCCAAAAAACATTACCCAGGAAAAAAGGCAAACTGTGAGTGAGACTCAATCTTTTGTTGTTCTGCTGTGAAAAGACTCGGAAATAGTCGTCGGACAGTTTGAGTTATTTTTTTTTTTTTTTTTTTTTTTTTTGATTGTTTTTGTTTTTGTTGTTCTTGTTTGGTTTGTTTTTCCCCCGTTTGTACGTGTAACTGTTATTTTTGCAAACGAGACAGTCTCGAGTTAGATGAAAAAGTTAATAAACAAAATGGCGACTCCAATATTGAGTAAGATCACCATGACTACCAGGATGGGAGCGGAGCCCTGGAAGAGAGAGAGAGAAGGACAGGCGTTACAAAGCGGGGTGACACCTCTGGCCGTGCTGCACCGATACCGCGGTGGCGGGGGAGAGGCGAGGGGTGCCCAGGTGTGAAGCCCGTCTACTACCATCCACTAATGTCCTGGGCTCCAACCTCAGCTGGGAATGAGACCTACCAGACTGAGAAAGCGATGCTGCTCTCCCTCCATCTGGGGAGCTCCAGGTGCTCGGGAAGCATTAGGGAGCATTTCTACCCCTTTCCTGAGCGGGGCAAGGATCACCCCATTTTCCCATGCTTGGAGATGAAGAGTAGGTGAAGGGATTCCCCGCCTCCTGACTCCTCAGCTGCGGTTTCTACCAGTCCGTCTTCCTACCCAGTTCACTGTCAAGGCAGCTCTCTAATCCTGAACCATCTGATGAGCCCACCTCTCACTTCTTCTCCTTCATAGAGGCAACAGGATGGGTTCACCCAGCAGCACCATGCACCCAAGCCCAAATACAGCCATAGAGGTAGCATGTTGGGTTCACCTAGCAGCACCGTGCACCCAAGTCCAAATATAGCTATAGCAGCACCATGCACCCAAGTTCAACTACAGCTATAGAGGTAGCATGATGGGTTCACCCAGCAGCACCATGCACCCAAGCCCAGATACAGCTATAGAGGCAACATGATGGGTTCACCTAGCAGCACTGTGCACTCAAGTCCAAATATAGCTATAGCAGCACCGTGCACCCAAGTCCAAATCCAGCTATAGAGGCAACATGATGGGTTCACCTAGCAGCACCATGCACCCAAGTCCAAATATAGCTATAGCAGCACCATGCACCCAAGTTCAACTACAGCTATAGAGGCAACATGATGGATTCACCTAGCAGCACCGTGCACCCAAGTCCAAATATAGCTGTAGCAGCACCATGTACCCGAGTTCAAATCCAGCTATAGAGGCAACGTGATGGGTTCACCTAGCAGCACCATGCACCCAAGCCCAAATCCAGCTCTAGAGGCAACGTGATGGGTTCACCTAGCAGCACCATGCACCCAAGCCCAAATACAGCTCTAGAGGCAACGTGATGGGTTCACCTAGCAGCACCATGCACCCAAGTCCAAATATAGCTATAGCAGCACCATGCACCCAAGTCCAAATATACCTATAGCAGCACCATGCACCCAAGTTCAACTACAGCTATAGAGGCAACATGATGGATTCACCTAGCAGCACCATGCACCCAAGCCCAGATACAGCTATAGAGGCAACATGATGGGTTCACCTAGCAGCACCGTGCACCCAAGTCCAAAATAGCTATAGCAGCATGCACCCAAGTTCAAATCCAGCTCTAGAGGCAACGTGATGGGTTCACCTAGCAGCACCGTGCACCCAAGTCCAAAATAGCTATAGCAGCATGCACCCAAGTTCAAATCCAGCTCTAGAGGCAACGTGATGGGTTCACCTAGGAGCACCATGCACCCAAGCCCAGATACAGCGCTTAACAGCAAGAGCCCTGTCTGTGGACAAACCTGATGCATTATTGCTCTTTTATGAATGATCTCAGCAGTCACTTGCTACTCACTTGCATGGGCAAACCTTAGTACCAGCAAGTATTAACACAGCCTATTTACAGTGATAAACTAACGGTATGTCAGCAAGGCTCAATTCTTTTCTCCCAGCCTCCCTTGGTTTCTTGGGACATGGAGGATGAAGGCATTGACCTTGCAAAGTTCAAGTGACTGAGAGAACAAGGATTTGGCCTTTCCTTTTCCATGCCATGTAGTGCAAAATGCAGAGCACTGTCATGTCTGCTTTCTGCTGCCAAGGAAAAGTAAAGGGCGTTGGATTATGAAAAGCTTCACCAAGACCAAACAGGACACTCCTGAGACAGGAGGTTTCCTAGTAGTGTGATCTCCTGCACACCAGGTTTCCATGTGGGCTGGATATGTGCTTTCAGATGCACATTTTAGAAAGCTCCCTCTGACATTCCCACGCACTGCATTCGACTTTAGGGGAAATATGCCACGTGCCCCATGGCGGAGCTGATGCGGGGTCCCCAGGGTCCTGGGTACGGCCCTCTAGGCTCCCCATTTAACGGGAAGACTCCGTGTCGGACCGCGGTGTCGGACTGCTTCTGCCAGGGCGAATCGGTTTGGTGCCAGGGCAAGCTGGAGCGTGCAGAAGGAAACGGGAGGTGCAGGGGTGGGGGAGGTAGCAGCCCTGATTAGCGACTGCAGAGAGGTAGCACAGCGATGTGCCGTAGGGAAGCCACAGGCGCTGACCTGCCCCCATTCAGAGCCGTTTTAATGACGCAGGTTTGTTTATCTCCCAAAATGGCACAATTGGGTCCCTGCTTCTCCCTCCTTCCCTTGCCATCCAGCTTGTCTGCCCATGCGGGGTGGAGTACGGCAGGGCTGGTCGCCCTCATTAAGCAGGTTTCCGTACCATGCTGCAGACCTATCTGAAAAGCTTCTTGCTAGACTGGGATCGCTGCTCCTCCGGAGCTGATTCAGTTCACATTTTGGGGGTGGGCAGGAGGAAGCTGGAGCTCGCTGGAAAGGCATATGCTGTTGCTTAGCGATGGGGTCAAAGGAAACCAGCCAAATGGAAGGATTTCAGAGACTTTCCCGGTATCTGCTCTCGCCTGGCTTACATGCATCTCTGTGTCCCCCCCCAGCAGCCCCTCTCCGAAGCGGAGCCCACCCTGCTGCTGCCAGGCGCGGCTCCCCTGGGCCTTTGCGCTCGGTGTTTTAGCTTCCTTTCCAAAGATTATTGGCTTGCAACTTCCCCCCCACCCCCAGTATTAACATCATAATAGCTCCCACTGTTTCTCCTGGCAGGGCATCACAGAGATGCATTAGGTCCCATCTAGCCATGCAACTGCACCGTACGTCATATTCTCTAGCATTTGGCCTACTCTCAGCTTGAATGTCACAAGTAATGAGGTTTCTGTCACTTCTCCTGATCACCTGCTCCATCTAGCAGCGCTAACCACTGCACTTGCCTGCCAGACAGTGCTACCCAGGGAGGTGGGGGGGCACGCGGGTCAATCTGGGCTGTTTCCTCAACTCTGGGCATGGTCTTGGACTGGATGGGACATGGCTGCAGCATTTACCTCTCTGGTCATGAAAGCTTTCTCCTGGTGGGAGCAAGCAAAAAGGGTTCGGAGGAAGCAAAACGATTGAACGGAGCTGTGCCCAAACGATGGCTAAAGTGTGAAGCCTGGATTTGACCCCAGTTCCCTTAACTCAGGCCCACAAGTTCAAGGAAGTCAGTGGAAGAGACAAGTCGAGGGAAACAGACCCAACTTGTGCAAGAAACGTCCAGCAATGGCATGTGGGATTACCGCTGCGTGTGCAGCAACCAGGTTTCCTTGCACAGACCTCTGCTTGCACACCCAGACGCAGGGCTGAGTGGGCATGGTGAAGGAGCAAGGACTTTGTGTGGCTCCTTATACAGTGGGATTCTGGAAATGCTGCCTTATTAGCCTGTCTGTTTGCATGCACAAAGCCTCCAATTCATGTCCGATCATTAGAGACACGCGAATAAGTCTCCTCTTTGCTTGTATGGATGTGGGATTGTGTCCCTGCAATCAGGGACCCCCAGAAATGCCCTGGCTGTCTTCTGGGAGGCTCTTTGCAAAAGTGGCAACTCATGTTTGATGTGCCCACAGCCCCCAGATCACTCACCCTTTCTCTCTCTTGGTCTGGACCTAACTCTGAGAAAAACCATCCTCAACCAGCACCACTCATCAGAAAGACACCAAGATGCCCTAAAGCGGGGCACAAGTCCTGATAATGTGATAGCTAATCTGATTAAAAGCTTTGTGATCTCTGAGGCTTTGGCTCTAGCTCCAACTATGAGCCTGGCTGAACTTTTCAAAGTTTCTCAAGTCTAGGTTTCTGATTTGAAAGCTCTTTGCGCTTCAGCTCTCACACCTGGAGCTGCAGGAAACCGAGTATCAGTAATCCCCGTTCAGCCCTGGAGGAAGATAACACACCTGCCAGTGCGCCTGTTGGAGATTTATTCTTGATCCCGAACTCCTTCTAGGCTAGTTAACACCCATGAACTGTGACAGTACCCCAAGTTTTGAAGCTAGCTGCACTCTGGACTCTGCTAAACCCTGAACAGCAACTCCCATTGAGCCAGTATAAAAGGGCTGGGCATGGGTAAAGATTTGGTGGGTATTGCCAGGAGATGTTAGGGGTCTTAGCAGAGTGGGGAATGAGCTGGCAGGACTTTGAAATCCAGCTTCCCAAATAGCTCGGGCATTGGTGTCACGGACCCACAAGCCGAAATAAAATGGACCCCCGTTACGAAATAATGATGATCATTTTGCCAACACTTAGTTAATAAGAGTTTCAATTGCTGCGTTCATGTTCCTCCCGCTCCATCAATACCAGGGACAATTCTTGCAGAATCAAAATAATTTTGATTGCATTGTTTCCCTTGTTTTTTAGCAGCAGTGCACCACCCGGGTTTGTCACCAAGGATATGAAGAGCAGATGAGTTACAAATAACATCCCACATTATTCATTAAAGTATTAACAATCCACTATTATTCATTATCCCCAAGCCCTGGCTTTGTTTCTCTGCCATGGAAACTACAGTGCAGGTTACCTAGGAATCCCTCTGGGACCTATTAAGTGTAATTACTAAGAACTCAGATCAGCAAAAAAATATATACATTGTTTTTCAGCCTCAGCACTGGAAAAATGCTGAAAAATCAGCTGCCGTGTGTCATTTTTGCTGAATAGTAGCCCCCATGTAATCTACAGGAACAACCTGCTGCTAAATAGTTAAAGAGCATTTACCAAGTAAAACAGGCCAGGCTAAATTTTCCTCCCTTACACCAGCCAGGTGCCAGAGGCTCCAGGAAGTGGGTACGGGAGTAATCACGATGAGAATCCGGCCAAGCATCATCTTATATAACAGCGGCAGCCACTCAACCCCAATGCACAATAAAATAGGGCATTATGGAAAAGCCATGAGTTTCTGCAGAGGGTGTGACTGATGGC